CATATATAGTAACAAATATTATACTTTAAGGAATAGGTTTTTAAAAAATTAAATATGAATTAAATGTTACTACTTCTTTCTTGCTACTTGTGACATTTTTAGTGTCATTAAACTGAGATTTTTTTTATTGAAAATTCGATAATTTGATACCAATATAAATATAAAAAGTACATTTCTGAGAACTCGCCATTTCAAAACCCTTTTTTTTTCTTTATCATAGCCACTTATACTCACTGACCCATATATTTCCTCAACAAAACCAGTACAGTGAACTCATGAGGTTTGAGTTCACAGTCACTGGTGATATGGTCTATGAACTGAACAGAAGTCATTTGTATCATCACAGCTGATTACAGAGCTTTTAGTGGCAGGTGTTTCTTTCGGCCTGTGATCTGTCATTTGCAGCTGTTGATGTTAGCCGCCAGAACAGCTTTAAGTAGCAGGTGTTGATGTATGTAGTGACCAATCTACATCTAAGAGGCTTGTGGAAAGGTCACAACCATCGGGGGTTAGGAAAAGAGCTCGGAAAGTTTTAGCACAAATTTGCTGTCCAGTAAAAAAAAAAAAACTGCTGTTAGTGATGTCTGTGGTCAAGATAAGGTTGTTCAATAAATATTTGCTGCCAGTAAACAAATTTAAAGAGAAAGACTAATTCATCATCCTGCCACTAATGGAGCATGTGTGCTGTGGACAGTAGTCTTAGCTTATTTATCCTGAAGTATATTGTCAAATAATCCAAATTTCAAGCATCTAACCAGAAAAACAAGACATCCAACCCCTATTTCTTTCCATCAGGAAAGTCACAGTGGAATGCATGTCCACATCAGTGCAAGTGAGCCTCACCAATTGAATTATCAAGAACATATTGTGTTGGCTATAAGGAAATTGCATTTTGTGCCGTCTGTGCTCATTACTTTGAGGCTTTGAAGGAGGGGATTTATTGAAGTGCGTTGCATTGCTCATTACTTTGTCACCTTAACATCAAGTGTGATCTGTGGGTAAAATAACAAGCCCTTCTTTCCCCCTCACCCCACCGGTCTTCATTTGCATCGCTTCCTGACTACGCAAGATTGCATTACGTACTGCATAAAGAGCGGACAGTGGAGAGAGAGGCTGTCTACCTGTTCCTCTTAAAGTGCTAATAAGCTTTTCTTTATGGAGAGAAACATGGCTCTAGGGTGAGATGACAAGGGAAACGGCATAGCCAAAGTAGCACCACTCCCATCTATCAGTAAGAAACAAAATGAATGCTGATTGTGCATTCCTCTGAGGCTGATGGAAGCATTTAAATGAGGCCTTTGCATGTAGAAAGCCGCAAACCACTAAGATAGGTAGCATCTGATGATATACTAATAGACTAAACCTGAAATAAATGATCCTAGTGGCCTTGAGCCAGGGGAGCTGTTGCGTTGTCACCATTTTGGAAAGCTTGTCAAACAATGATGGTCATTATCTAACTGCTGCTGGCTGACATTGAGGTTTTGTCTTGATTTAATCATTTGTTTTGGATGCATCAATCAAATTAAAATTGTTTTGCACTGTATGCAGTCATTTTCAAAGAAAAGTGGTGCATGCATTCATAGCTTACCTGGAGTAACATCACTAATTATATTTAACTGTATTTAAATTTGGCGTTAAGTGAAAAATACTTTTTTTTTAACAATAATAATAATATAATAATTTTTATTTTATAAATATAATATAAAAATTTATATAAAAATGTAAAGGAATTTTTAAAGCTTAATAGCAACTTGAAAAACCAAACCCCAAGCAAAGGCACTTCATATAATAAATACAGATCCATCCTGTGGGCTACTCTACATCACACCTGAAGCATTGTGCACTGTGAATATTGTTGGCTCTTATGATAAATTACTTGTTGTTGTACCTCATTTGTAAGTCACTTTGGATAATAGCATTTGCTAAATGACTAAATGTAAATGTAGATGAAAATGTTGGCAGAGCATGTAAAAATCTGCACTACTGGCTCGACCAGGCCAGTAAAAAAAAATAAAAAATCCTTATTGTTGAACCCTGTTTTATATCTAAAGCTAAAAAATGACTTTGATTTATTAAACAGTGTGCAGCATGGATCGATTGAGCCTAATATTGACCATCTAAAATGTTTCCACAGCATCTACAGTCAGTGAAAATGGGAGACGGAGCTGCTTGAGGCTGAAAGTTTTTGTCAGACCTTCAAGTAAGTTTTACAAGCCCCTCAGGAGAGATCCTGGTGTGGCTTCTGACAAAGCGTGGTTGCAATTGCATTGTTTATCACTGCTGGAAAAGTTTAATGAGTTAAAGATGATGTCACAACCCTGACAACACCCTGTTTTATGTTTCTCCCACAGACAACTGCGAGAAGAGTCATGACCGCGTTGTAAAGGTCAATGATGGAAGCATTAACTCTATAGAAGATAATAATGGTTCGTATTGTATTTCAAAGGCATTTCCATATTCAAAACTATCAGTAAAGTCGAGACGTTTTTGTACCCTCAGGTATTACAGACCTTTTTTAATCTTCCTTTTTTTCAACCATTTAGACGGAACGAGTCACGAATCTGCAGAACCATCCCGAGGTGATGTCAACGGCGCCGGATGCATTCAGACTGTAGGGCCCTTGTTGGCCTCAGCGCTGGTTCTTTTGGCTTCCCTCTCCTCCTTATAGCATCCCGCACATACGCGGTGACACACCTGAAATACACAGGAGGACTCGTGATCGAGCACTTTTAAGAAACATTGAGATCTTTCTCTCCGCTGAAAAGTAGTTTCTCGCATAGGAAGACGTTCATCCATTGGCGATATAACTGGATGGTTTTCAATGAACAAAAGCCCCACCCCACGAAAAAAAAACACTCTGTTGTACACATATAAAACCCACTAAACTATGACATGCACACTAAAATAGGTCCGTGTCCTTTCGGTGCCCCTATGTGACGTTGGAGAGGGACTTGGAATTGGGGGCAGAGGAAGAAAATGACTCTTTTTCGCAAAGACTGCTTTCAGTGTTTCCATCCAGAAAAGAGAAGTCAGAGCAACAGAGCAAGAGGACTGTCTGAGGGATCTCTCCACGTGCATTGTGGGAAAACGTCGTCACTGTGGACTCAACTGCTGACTCTACTAGATATCAAGGCAAATTGTTGCCTGATAGCATCCCTTATAAAGAGGGAGCTTTTTAATATCTCAACCGGAGTAGTCCGCGTGGACTCAGGTGCTCAGGTGAACGGTGACCATTTTTGAAGCGTTTTCGTAGATAAAAGAAAAAAGATAAGCACTCGTTTTGTACATTGTGTACAGGTGTACATGGGACTGAAACACAGATGTGGTGTTCTTGAAGTAAAATGCTCAAGTGTAGCTGCCAAAATCGATGTTTTGTTAGAGGAGTACGGAGCATCACTGATCGATCGTTTGAGTGAATATACTAATTTGTTTGGTGAATCATCCTTTTCTTATTTATTGTTCAGTCTTAGTGCTCTTGACACTTTGTTGTACTAGTCATCAGCCAGGATTCAGGAGAAAGGAACACAAAATGCCTAGCTGCAGTCCTCTTAACTTGATTTAGACTAATAACAACTGCATTGCAGAATAACTTATGGTAATGTGTTAATATTTTAGCAAGTCAATCTTTGAAATGATATCAGGGGGAAAAACAGTAGTACATCTCCATATCATGTCCGTCAGGGGTCACGTCGCTCCTTAAAAGTGTCCATTATCATGGAGAAGAGGGAGGAAATGGTTTGCATTAATTTTGTAAATGTTTCCTGTCTTTTTACCCTAGAGTAATACAGCATTAACATTTTAATTTGGTCAATAAAATGAGTTCATACCTTGCCAAATGAATTATGTACAAAAAAAAAAAAAAAAAAAGACGTTTTCAATTATTCTTTTTTCTAAGCATGAAGTAAAAGTAATGAAAATATTTTCTTATATCCGCAAAACGAATTCTCACACGGGCATTTCTTTTGTCAAAGTGCATTTCAACCGTGCCGTTTTTATTTATTTCCTTTTTAAATAAGGAGCTGTGTGCATTAAATGCTCATCTGGGATCTACTGAAACGGTAGCAGAGCGCTGCTTCCACCCCGGTGGCAGCTGACACCCTAACGTGATTTAATAGGCTCTTTGATGTTGTCCAAAGTGCCTGGCACGCAGACCACATACTGCGAGGCCTCATGTGGGTTATTTCTGGAATTAAAAAATCGACAGCAGCACGGGAGGAGCGCAGTGTCCAGTTTAGCTGCGGGCTAGCGTTACTCTGGTGAACTTGGCCAGAGATGGAGAAAGATGAGATCTCCCGCTGGGATCAATAGTAATGGCCTTTACAGACACAAAACAGGGTAAATATTTGCCCCAGTCCTGGTTTTCCTTTCTTGAATGGTTTTCATGTTTTTCATTCGCATCTACTTATCGACAGTTTGTAACCAACATAAACGTAACTTTTGACTTTATTACGATATGTGGTTATGTTTAGCTAGCTACTATGGTTCTTTTACAATGATAACACAGGGGCACATGGATCCTATGGATGCTATGTATCCGTACGTTGTTTAGCCACTGGAACCACTGGTACGAAAGAAATAAGAGATAAATGAGGAATTAAGAAATAATCCAGTCAGAAAGTCATTATCAGATACACTTGTTAATATTTTTTCTGGAGATAAATGCATTTGCAGACAGAATACTTTTTAAATGTGCTTTTTTATTTTGAGTAACATTTAAATGGTTCAATATTCATAAAGACAGCTAGGAATGTGTGCTGGTCCATCCTTAAAAGCACCACTGCACTATCATTGCTAAATCATAACCCATCTACATCTTTTTTTAAATCTCCTGTGGAATATTTTAAAGTCTGCAATGTTCTGTTGTTGCACCACGTCCGTTTATTGTCATGGGAACAAACCTAGAAGGCCAGTTTTAGTAGGTTTAATTCAGGAAACATTATTTTTGTAAAACGACTCCAGTGTCTGTTTTTGTCCATATGCAAAACTCCCAATTGTTGAGAATTCGAGGTCAAAGGAATGAGGTCTCATTGAACCTGGGTTTTTCACCACAAGGCAGTTGTGTTCCTGTATTCTCTCATCGTCTTTGTCCCAGAGAATATATCTTCAGCGTTAGACATAATTTCTTCATTCTTTCCGCACCTGCTTCTTCATAGAGCTGTGAAGACCATGATATATAAACCACCATTTCCTTAGCTTCTTGGCTGTGTTGCGTGAATATTAGACATTTGCTGTGACGTCTCTGACGGTCCAGTGCTGACTTGCATTATGATATGACACGTTTTTATATCTTCAAATGCCATTATTTGTAAATACACTTGCTGGAGCAGCTCAAATAAATGATTAAATAAATCTGTCATTGTTGTAAGTAACATCTTCTGCTGTTTTTTTTATGTATTCTGTTTTAAGATTTAAGGGTATTATCCAGTGGGTTACGATACAAGGGCCGATGGTATTTATTCTAAGGTGTTCCAGGTGATAATACAATTGAAATAGCATTTCCTGCTTTCCATTTAACTAACAGTGTGCAAATATTCTTCTGCAGCAAATTCCAGCACTTTGTTTTATCCCAGTGTTGTATGATTTAGCTGAGCCTTAAGAAAGCCGCACAGTTTTCTTTCAAATCCTTGTTAAACAGAGAATTATACCAAGGCATACAGGGATTTCTGATAACTGATTGTTCTATGAGTAAGGGATAGAAATGGTAACATTTGCCCATCATTATTATTACACTCAGGAGTCAATGAATATTAATGAGCAAGTGCACGCTCGTGGGCATTGGCCAGTTTAAACAAGAATAGGCTTGAGGAGGATTCCTTAGTGACATGGTGTTGAATGGTGTCTAGTGTTCTCACTGATTTGCCTCTAAATATCTTGTGCCTTGTTCTATTCCCCCCCCCCGAACTTTCGGAAAAGCCAGACAATGTTTGAAATCTATTCCACGCTATGCATTTCAGCAATGTCCTGCTTTTGACCTCAATTGGCCTGATGAGACATAAAATAATTTTTTCCCTACATGTAATTAGAGCATTTTATTGTCATTATTTATATGCACAAAGGTTTAAGAAACTATAGTTATTGTGTGTCAAAAAAGCAAACTATGCAGAGAACCAGCACATGCTGGAAATACATTGGCCTTCAAAGCTCAATATGCCCACTTATTGGCCTTTAAAGTGAATGGTTGGTTGCTTTTTTTTTTAAGTGTTTGTTCATCCTTTTACAATTATATGCAAATAAGTTCTTGGTTGCTAAGGAACTGTAAAGAAAAGAGATTTACCTCTGAACTCTGCTCAACTAACTGATTCTCTTTAGAGAAATGACTCTGGATAATGTATTAAAGCTAGTTAAGATCCTGCATGTTGTATTTGCACACTTGACCCATGTTTTTTGTGCCATATGAAGCATTTTCCTCTGAGGAAAGAGATCAATTTGTGAAATTGTAAAATCTTAAGCTCAGTGTACGGAATTTTTGGAAACAAAATATTTTAGTGGCCAGCTTCCTTTAATTCTAAAATGAAACAGTACATCATGGCTTTATATGGTGTATCTGCAACTCCATTCAGCATTCTAAAAATAACCACCCTCTACAGCTGAGAGGATTCATTTCTCCTTTCATACAGGGAAAGCCTGGGGCAATGTGATATTTCCAAGGCCAGAGATCATGCAGAAAATAAGGGCCAGTGAGTGACTGTATACTTCCAGAGTGTAATAATGTGAAGTCAAGCCTGCTTGATCATCAGACAAACAGCCTGCACAGAAAACAGAAGAACTGTCTCCCAAACCCTGAAAAAGTATACCTTTACAGGTATCACATAGAGAAAGAAAAGTAAAAAACATCTGAATCCAGTCCAGTTTAGTTTTTGTTTGAAGAATAAAATGCCGTCTGATAGAGAAGCTGAATAGAGCACATTTATAAAATGTCCACTTTTAAAACGTATTTTAAGCAACTTTTGACTGCATTTAAGTCGTTAAATATTTGATTGGTTAAATGTAAAGCCCATTCCCCCGCATTCGGCCAATGGGATTGAACTGAAGCGTCGAAACACAAACATGCGAGGGCAAGAACAAACACGCAAAACAATCGTGACGAAATCTGCACAAAGTACCGGAAGTGTTCAAATGACGCCACTGTTCGCGTGCGAATGTTTCTAATACAGGTGCATCTCAATAAATTAGAATGTCGTGGATGTGAGCCAAAATCATCACAATTAAAAGAACCAAAGACTTAAACTACTTCAGTCTGTGTGCACTGAATTTATTTAATACACGAGTTTCACAATTTGAGTTGAATTACTGAAATAAATGAACTTTTCCAAGACATTCTAATTTATGGAGATGCACCTGTATAAATTAGTAGGTACTTTCACATACAAAACTTCGCCTATTTAGTGGTTAAATGACCGGGAATTGGGGTAGCAAGGCAAGTTGCTTTTAGATTTTGAACACAGACATGGAAAATAGTTTGAGATGATTTTTCGTGTTACCTGATATTTTACATCATAAGGTAACGTTAGGCTGTTTACATTTACATGTATTTATTTAGCAGATGCTTTTATCCAGGGGATATACCTGTATCATTCATTGAGTCCACCATACTAAATGTTCTTGCTAAGGAAAATGTCCTAATAAACAATTACAAGTCCTAATTAACAATTAAAACAAATGCATGAATGCTTTAGATGTGGGACACAATGCGGCTTGTGGAACAGGTGAGCAGGAGAGCTCCGCAGGCATCTGTAGCAGTTGTCACAGACTGTGAGAGGCCTGTGGGATCACCTGGCTGATTACATACAGGTCCCACTGGGTCGGTTCAGCGACAGGACAGCTCAATTATAGCAGTAAG